TTCCTTCTTTTTATACTAGACTGGACTTCTGTATTAGATGCTATAATGATTTAAAGTGGATTATTCTTGTCACATTAGTTCATTAACAGTGTAGTATACATCATAGTATTGGTACACATTTTAACAGTGCTTACCACGGGACAGATAATAGGCCTGCTGTTGATTGTCTTCAGCCAGATGTACTGCAGTGCCCAAATAAACAAACTGTATGACAAAATGAGACTTTCTCTTGCCCTTACAAATGCCTGAGAATTGAGGACTGTTTTTACACCAGTTTATGCCTTGGAGGCCAGGTTGTGTTATCAAAAGTTTTCTTATCTCTGATCATTTTCGGTAGAATTTATTTTCAGTAGAATTTGTAATGTCCAAGCATTGTGAAGAGAAATTTATTTTTTAACTTTTGAAAAATAACAAAACATGTGCGGTTTACTTGTGGAATCCAAACTTAAATCTTTCCTAATCCTAATTTAAAACTCCATGGCGATGGTAAATTTTTTCATTTCTAACTTCAAATTTATGTAATAGGACAGAAAAAAAAGTATACATTTTCAGTCACTTACGATTCTCGTTTGTTAGTGAGATTCTTATACATTTTGATAGCATTTCCTCGAACACTAATCTGTCAAAAGTTAGAAGTGAAAAGGCATAAGAAAAGCCGTATATATATATATGACCTACCTTACAAAATGCTTGGTCAAAATCTGATTATAACGTGATTTTGATAAACCACTTCTTTTCTTGTCTTCTTATTTAAAGCAGAATAGACTTGGAGAATATGAGCCTTAAAGTAAATCTGCAGTAAAAAAAGGATATGTGCAGCTAGTTTTCCACTTTTAAAACCAAACCACAGATGACACATTTCCTTTCCACTGCAACTAAAGCACATGTCACGGGGCGGAAAAAAACGAAAAAACTCCAACTCGTCTAGTTGGCCACTGGCATGACAGGAGGCTTTGTAGAACAAATCCCCGCCTCCAGAACAGGGAGGGTTTTCCACTTAATGCCGTTTGACAGTATGCTCATTCTATAGGCCTGCTACATGCTTTAGTGTCATTCAAAAGAGGTTTTGAAATGGTATCTTCCATTTCAAATCTTCTCTAAAAGACGTATTTGAAATCTACAGACTGATTTGAAAATGTGAGTTTGGAGTCCATGGGATGCTGGTCAGATAATATACAATTGTGGAACTGCAACAATTATTTGAGAAAGTATCTAGTAAGCTTAGATTATATGGGACAGAAAATGCTTTTGTGTGGTGTAGTGTGTGTATACACACACACACACACACACACACACACACAACTGTCAAATATCCTGTCATCACCTCAAGTTTAATATGTCTGAAACAGACTTTAAGAATTGGGTATGGGCTGGACACGGTGGCTCATGCCTGTAATCCCAGCACTTTGGGAGGGTGAGGCAGGCAGATCACTTGAGGCCAGGAGTTCAAGACCAGCCTGGCTGACATAGAGAAAACCTGTCTCTACTAAAAATACAAAAATTAGCTGGGCCGGGTGGCGTACATCTGTAGTCCCAGCTACTTGGGAGGCTGAGACGGGAGAATTGCTTGAACCCGGGAGGTGGAGGCTGCAGAGATCATGAGATCTCGGCTGCATGAGCTGAGATCATGCCATTGCACTCCAACCTGGGTGACAGAGTAAGACTCTGTCTCAGAAAAACAAAACAAAACAAAACAAAACTGGGTATGGCAGCACCTATCTGTAATCCCAGCAACTAGGAAGGCTGAGGTAGGAGGATCACTGGAGCCCAGGAGTTCAAATCCAGCCTGGGTAACATAGCAAGACTCCATCTCTTAAAAATTAATTAAGTTAATAAAAGAAAAAGAACTTTATTTTTTCTTTAAAAGAGACTGCCTGTCACAGTCTTCTTGTTTCTGTTCATGATAGCAACATTCTAATATCAGAGGCTTAGTATACAACACACCATTTTAATTCAAGTCCTCTCAGTCCTGATCAGACTTTGAATCATGTTGGTCCTTCCTTCATATTCTTGGATCAGTTTCTTTTTCCCTGTCTTTACTGTCTACAGTAGTATTTTAGATCCTTATCAGGTCATACCTAGACTCTACAGTACCTTTTCGGTAGCCCTGACTCCTTCATATGTCTTGTATACATCACTTTCTTTGGTCATATCACCCCTTTCTTTAAGGGAAAATAAAACCGGTTGAACATTCCCTAATACTTACAGTAATGATTCAGAAATGTTTGTGTACTTAAACATCAGATGAGAGGATTGTTTAAAAACAATAAAAGCAGGACATGGTGGCTCACACCTGTAATCTCAGCACCTTGGGAGGCTGAGGCGAGAGGATTACTTGAGCCACAGAAGTTCGAGACCAGCCTGGGCAGCATGGCAAAATCCTGTCTCTACAAGAAAAAAAAAAAAAAAAACACTAGCTGGTCGTGGTGGTACTTACCTGTAGTCCCAGCTACTCAGGAGGCTGAGGTGGGAGGATCACCTGAGCCTGGGGAGGTCAAGGCTACAGTGAGCCATGAGCCGTGACCATGCCATTGCAGTCCAGCCTGAGTTAAGAAAAAACGAGAAAAAAAAAAAAAAAAAAAAAAAAACCATGATAAAAATTTCCAGACCCCACTACATAGATTCATATTTAGTAGGTCCAGGTTGGGACCAGAAAACTGCGTTTTTATCAAGCACCACAGGTGATTCTGATGCCAGTAGTCCACAGAACATATGCTGAGAAATGATGAGCCCCTAGGAGAAAACCTAAGCCCTTTAGTTGAGCAGTTATGGTCTCTTCACAATTTGACTATTCTGTATTTTCCCAGCTTTATCTCTCAAAACTTCCCTACCTGAATCCTCCATTCTGGCTAGACTAGCTGTCTCTTCAACACATCTAGTTACCGGTTTCTTTTCCTTTTTGTCTTTCTCCATAAGGCGTGCCCAATCCTCTTGCTGAGTTCTGCATTCCTCCTTACCCGATTCAGCCACTGTATCTTCTATGTAGCTTTCACTGACTGCCCAGTTTGTGTTGTCTCTCTCTCTCTCTTTTGTCTTAATAACAGTATTTTCTCTGCAGTTCTTTGACAAGTAATTACATTCTACCTCATATCGTTTATCTTGAAATATTTGACTTGTTTTAAAATCATTTGACTTGTCATATTTTTATCTTATTTTCTCCCAACAAGATTAAAAACTCTGAGGTGCAGATTTTTATTGATACATGATAATTTGTACATATTAATGGGGTATGTGTGATTTGTTTTGTTTTGTTTTGTTTTTGGGTTTTTTTTTTTTGTTGGAGTCTCGCTCTATCGCCCAAGCTGGAGTACAGTGGCGCAATCTCAGCTCACTGCAAATTCTGCTTCCGGGGTTCAAGCAATTCTCCTGCCTCAGCCTCCCAAGTAGCTGGGACTACAGGCACGTGCCACCACGCCCAGCTAATTTTTGTATTTTTAGTAGAGACGGGGTTTCGCCACGTTGGCCAGGCTAGTCTTGACCTCCTGACCTCAGGTGATCTGCCTGTCTTGGCCTCCCAAAGTGCTGGGATTACGGGCGTGAGCCACCATGCCCTGCCTGTATGTGTGATATTTTGATACATGCATATAGTGTGTAATGATTAAATCAGGGTGATTAGGATATCCATTGCCTCAAAGAAAATAAATTGTTTCATCTAGCTGTTTTGAAATATACAACGTTACTATTAACTAGTCACCTTACTATGAATAGTAGAACTTGTTCTTCTATCTAATTATAATAATACATATATTATTTTTTTTTTTAAGACAGTCTCACTGTTGCCCAGGCTGAAGTGCAGTGGTATAGTCTCAACTCACTGCAGCCTCTGCCTCCCAGGTCCAAGTGATTCTCATGCCTCAGCCTCCCAAGTAGCTGGGATTACAGACGTGCACCACCATTCCTGGCTAAGTTTTGTATTTTTAGTAGAGACAGGGTTCTGCCATGTTGGCCAGGCTGGTCTCAAACTCCTGGCCTTATGTAACCCACCGGCCTCAGCCTCCCAGAGTGCTGGGAATACAGGCGTGAGCCACTGTGCCAAGCCCTAATTATATTTTTATATCCATTAACCAACCTCTGAGGTAAAGATATTTATTTTAACTTACTTAGTAGTAGTATCACCAGAATCATCACATACAGAAAACTTTGGGCCTAAGTTAATATAGATTCTTTTGATTTGAAACTTTGGTGCCATTACTTCAGGGCTTTTTCATGGTCATCACTGTGGCTGCTCACATTTATTAGTATTCTTTTGGTTTTAAGCAACATATGACCTAATATGGCTTAATCAACACACGGTATTTATTGGCTTATATAACTAAGTAGTCCTGGGATAAATTTGACCCCAGGAGAGGCTTTATCTAAGACACAAATGATATGGCCAAAGCTCCAGTTTGTCTTTTTATTTCTCAGCTCTTTCTCTTCAGTCTTTTGGGAAGCTCTTCTTTTATATCCCAAAATATGAGCTAGCAACTCCTAGGGCTATGTATTCCCTTGTTTATAAACACCAGGAAAGAAATATCTCAAATCCCAACAATTTAAGCTAAAGTACTTGAACTGGGCCTCTTTGGCCCTGGTTGTCCTGGTTTGAATCATGTGTTCATTGCTGAATGTCTGTGATCAAGGTGGGATAAATGGATTGGCTAAAACCATCTCACTCCAGAGCTCCAGATGGGTCATTCCTACCAGACTGTTTGCCTAAGGAGTTTGGTGGGCCTGCAGGCAACCTACTGATTCCCACTGTTTTCTTCCCTTCTTGACTAATGAGCAAATTTTTTATTGTTGTTGTTGCTCAAAATTTTTGAATTGGAGATTTGTCTCTTCTCTTAGCCTTATTTCTCAGTGTTCAAAAAACAACTGATTTAAAAAATGAATCCAGACTTTGAAGAATTGTTTTATATTATTCTCTCTAGAAAATGAATTATAAAATAAAATTGATGAGTGACATCTGTATATTTATTTAAAACACTGTTAATAATCTTTGTCTTTTTTGTCATTTTCCTTAGGTTCAAAACTGGTCAAATCAATGGTGATTTGCTGATATACCATGTCTTACTGACTTTAAAGCCATATTATGCAAAGCCATATGAAATTGTAGTGGACCTTACCCATACCGGGCCTAGCAATCGCTTTAAAACAGACTTTCTCTCTAAGTGGTTTGTTGTTTTTCCTGGCTTTGCTTACGACAACGTCTCCGCAGTCTATATCTATAACTGTAACTCCTGGGTCAGGGAGTACACCAAGTATCATGAGCGGCTGCTGACTGGCCTCAAAGGTAGCAAAAGGCTTGTTTTCATAGACTGTCCTGGGAAACTGGCTGAGCACATAGAGCACGAACAACAGAAACTACCTGCTGCCACCTTGGCTTTAGAAGAGGACCTGAAGGTATTCCACAATGCTCTCAAGCTAGCTCACAAAGATACCAAAGTTTCTATTAAAGTAAGTTTTAGTCTGTGTTTTGTAAATGATTCATTGCTTTTCTTGACTGACTAGACTATATCCTGGCCTCCCTAGGTGTCCTACCCCCATAGTGGTGTATAAAACGTCACGTAAGGCCATTGCGGTGGCTCACGCCTGAATCCAAGCACTTTGGGATGTCAAGGTGGGCGGATCGCCTAAGGTCAGGAGTTCAAGACCAGCCTGGCCAAAACCCCGTCTCTACTAAAATACAAACATCAGCTGGGCATGGTGGTGGGCACCTGTAATCTCAGTTACATGGGAGGCTGAGGCAGAAGAATCGCTTGAACCCGGGAGGTGGAGGTTGCAGTGAGCCAAGATTGTGCCACTGCACCCCAGCCTGGGCAACAAAGGGAGACTCTGTCTCAAAAAATAAAAGGTTATGTAAATCTAGATGTAGGAAGACCAACATTTGTGTCATCATGGAGGTCCTGTGGAAGATATGAGACGTATACATTTTATTCTAGGTTAGGCTGGAAGTAGAAGAGCGTTTTGGAGAGGGCAGTTCGTTACGTCATTCAAATTGTAGGAATGTGCGGAGAGTAGAAATTACCTAATGAGAGTTCTTCTGATTATTGCATGCTTTTTGCAGAGTGAGGAACATGAACCTTCAGGATAAAATCAGTACTTTTCTGTAAGATTCTTTTTTTTTTTTGATATGGAATCTCACTCTGTCGCCTAGGCTGGAGTGCAGTGGCATGATCTTGGCTCACTGCAACCTCTGCCTCCCGGGTTCAAGTGATTCTCCTGCCTCAGGCTCCCCAGTAGCTGGGATTATAGGTGCCCACCGCCACGGCAGGCTAGTTTTTGTAGTTTTAGTAGAGACGCGGTTGTTGGCCAGGCTGGTCATGAACTCCTGACCTCAAGTGAGCTGCCCGCCTCAGCTTCCCAAAGTGCTGCGATTACAGGTATGAGCCACTGCGCCCGGCATTCTATAAGATTCTTGACCTTTTTAAAAAGAAAAAATAAAAATTTTGTAAATGTTTATTTCTTTTGAGAACATTTATCATAACAATTACTGAACCATTTGAATATACAATGGTGGGAACTCTTCCTTAAATGGCATAGTGTTTTGGTTGGTTGTTTGGTTTCTGGAGCCTTTTAGAATTATGTAAAATAATTTAATTCTTCTCCACTTCACCCCCTCACCACCACTTTCCAGGTTGGTTCTACTGCTGTCCAAGTAACCTCAGCAGAGCGAACAAAAGTCCTAGGACAATCAGTCTTTTTAAATGACATCTATTATGCTTCGGAAATTGAAGAAATCTGCCTAGTAGATGAGAACCAGTTCACCTTAACCATTGCAAACCAGGGCACGCCGCTCACCTTCATGCACCAGGAGTGTGAAGCCATTGTCCAGTCTATCATTCATATCCGGACCCGCTGGGAGCTGTCACAGCCCGACTCTATCCCCCAACACACCAAGATTCGGCCAAAAGATGTCCCTGGTACACTGCTCAATATCGCATTACTTAATTTAGGCAGTTCTGACCCGAGTTTACGGTAGGTTTTTTAAAAATTCACTTCAGTTTTATTTGGGGTTTGTTGCTTTTAAAATGAGACCATTTAATGAATTTTAAAACAGCCTCTACCTTAATATTGTAAATTGGAAGGTATGCAGTGTTGGTTAACCACTGTGACATCATCAAGTTGTGGGGTATTCACATGAACTGTGGAATTCCAAACAGGGTGATTCACACTAAACCAATATATGTCCTTTCTCCAGGAAACTTTCATGTAAAACAAAATGACATAGCAGATTTTTTCTTCCCCAAAGTATCCTAAATTTTTTCCTCCTCTAAGCCCTCTAATTTTTTTTTTCCATTTTCAGAAGTATATCACTATTTAGTTTAAAAGTCAAGTCAGATTATCGTTTGACAAAAGAAGGCCTAATGTTTAATAACTTGGTAACAGTATTGCATACTTTCCACCTACATCACTCTTAACAAAATTCTCAAAACAAATACATCATCTGAGCAGAGTGTAATTGGTTCCATTTAGGGTTAATAATTTGAATATGCATGTGGAAAGAGCATGGCTGTGGAGTGAGTAGATTTGGTTTGAACAGATATGCCACTTTCTAGCTATGTACTTTGAGAAAGATACTGAAGTTCTCAGAGATCTAGTTTCCTCATTTGTAAAATAAAGTTAATTGCCTTCCTCATATACCTACAAAAGCTTAAAAAATAGTATGTGTAGTAGTATAGCATAGCAACCTAGCGAATAGTTTATACTTAATAAGTAGTATTTTCTTATCTTACCTTTTCCCTCCCTGCCAGCGTCTCCTTGCACCTCTCCTTACCAAGTTAGGATAATTATTTGTCTCAAGTACCTTGAGACTTTGAAGATTTTTACAGATGTAAATTCTTCTGAAAATTTTCCCTGAGGATAACATAGCCCAGGTTTTATAGTGGGCCTTTTAGGATTCCAAATTCTCCTTTACTTAAAAGGAAAAAGAAAAAAAAAATCAAGATTTATTTACTTGGACGGGCTTTAGAAATTGCAAGATTTTGTGTATGCTCTGCTTCCTTTATCTCATAGGTGTCTGTGACACCTATCCTGGGTTGAGGAAGTCCAATTCTTCATAAGTGTTGAAATACACAGGATAAAAGTTTTGTCAAAATTGTAAAACTTAGAGTTCCTGGGAATTAGTAAAAGATACAAGCTGAGCACCGTGGCACACACCTGTAGTTCCAGCTACTCAGGAAGCTGAGGCGAGAGGACAGCTTGAGCTCAGGAGTTCAAGGCTGCAGTGTGCTATAATCATGTCTGTGAATAGCCAATGCACACCAGCCTGGGGAACATAGTGAGACTCTAAAATTTTTTTAAAAAAGAAAAAAGATACATAAACTTAGAAACAATAACACTAATATTCACATTTTAGAAACATGGAGCTGTAAGCCTGCCTTTAATTTCTAATTCAAAGACCTTCACTGAAAAATACAAACAACCTTTTAACAATTATTAGCCTGGGTAAACCTGTATTCTTCTCTAGTGACCTTAAGCAATCTCTTACAACTTCTGCTTTTTGCTGAAGCATGTCATCCCAGAGAAAAAGCCTTTAGGCAGACTTAAATTCTAGTGGCTTTGTTCTCCTATATGGTTGTTGCATAAATATAGTAGCATGATAAACATTCAGATGTAAGGAAAACCTGACGTTTACTGAGCAAACTATTTCCTTTACTGGACAGGGGAGAAAATTAAAATTTTTAAATTGAGTCTGAGTGTTTTAGACCATCTCCTAAATTTCTTAAATATATTTTCAGACATTTGTAAGTGATGTTTGGTCTCAATGAAACCTGAATATTACAGGATTTTTTCGATATCGGTGGTTGTATATGATGTAATGAGGTCATAGAGGGAAAAATGGGAGGACTTAATTATAAGTTAATTTTGTTTTTAACCTTCAGTTTGTAGGGTAACTTTTAGGACACCCAGAAAGAAGTTCAGCAGACCCTGATTAAAGATTTTCACATTCTAATTTGATGAAGGGAAGGGCCATCTGATACCTGTCCTTACTATCCCCATTATAACTGGATCTAGTGGGAAAGGGAACCAGAATTTGAGTTTTGGCTTTACTAAAAATGTATTGTGTGCCTTATCCTGACTTAATTTCTATTGATCCACCTTAGGACCATAAGTCCTTTCATATTTTATGTCCCAGTGAGATTGATTTTAGGAAAGCCTGCACCCCGCCTCTCTGTCGTAGGAGCCTCACAGTGCTCTTATGGTTATATCAAGTGTCTCCCTTTTTATAAAATCCCTAAATGATTAAGGGGTATTTTGGTTTTACTGTGGAATTATAGCATCTTATTTCTAATTGATCATAAAACTTAAAAATAGTTGATCATACTTTGTAATAGAATCACAAATTGTATGTTATGAAAAAATTTTGGAACTATAAGGAAAAATACGTTTTAAAACAACTTCATTTGTGTTTTCTTCTAGGTCAGCTGCCTATAATCTTCTGTGTGCCTTAACTTGTACCTTTAATTTAAAAATCGAGGGCCAGTTACTAGAGACATCAGGTTTATGTATCCCTGCCAACAACACCCTCTTTATTGTCTCTATTAGTAAGACACTGGCAGCCAATGAGCCACACCTCACGTTAGAATTTTTGGAAGAGTGTATTTCTGGATTTAGCAAATCTAGTAAGTAATGATAATTTTCTTTAATACTAACAATTATTCTAAGAGAATTCAAAGAAAACCCTTTCATTTCAGAATTTGCCGGTGAAGCCTTTCACTTATATTTTTACTTTTTTTCCTCTTCTGATTTTATATCTGTGGTACCCTGTAACTGAAGGAACTCTGAAGGAACTTTTTGATAGGCCACATTGAGAAATCCACCAAAATTCTGACAATAAAAGCAAAGTGGCAAGAGTTTGGTACTTTACACACCTCTGGACCACTACTTTTCTTCACTGTTACAGTTTAAGTAGCTTCAGTATTTCTCTTGTTTGCAGAAAAGTTCACATAAGTATCCATGTTGCCTCCTTAATTTTAGAGAACTAATCATTTTCTCTTTTCTTCAGGTTGACTTTGAACAATAATTTTAAAGTACATGTACAGTTCACGGAGAGCAAGCACAGTGGCACATAATACAGGGCCCAGAGTCAGTTCTGACTTGGTATTAACTAAGTCTCATAAATTTAACATCCACTCTTTATATTTGTCCATCTTTATATCCAATCGCTTTATAAATGTTGATCTTCTCCCAGCATATTTCCTGACCTTTTCTTCCCTTTCCTTTTCCAGTAATACATAAAACTTTTTTTTCTGCATTCAAACATATTTCTTGATTTTTCTATATTAGATAATTAAAAGCTTCAGCAATTCACTAAGACTCTTTTTCAGGTAAGAGATGTAGGAATATAACCCTAACAAAAAAAAATGTGTAGGACAGACAAAACAAGGAAAGTATAAACTTTAGTGATAAATATTAATATGAGAAAAGATTTGAGTGAATGTAAAGGCATATTGTGTTCCCGCATGAACAATTCTCCCCAGATTATTACAAATTTAATGTAATTTCATCAAAATAACCATGGGATTTGAGGATTGAGAATGGAGCTAGAACTTAAATGATTCTAAATTCTACATAAAATTGCAAAAATAGCTAAGAAAATATTGAAAGGAGACTTGAGACTTGATAGTACAGATGTCTGAACACTTTATAGCAGTACAATAATTAAAACATACGTGTGCAAGAATCAGCCATCAGATCAGTTTAAGAGAAACATTGATAAAGAAGCATCACAAACTGATGCGGGAGAGATTAAGTCATTTAAGAAATGAAGTTGGGAAATGACTTAAATTAGGTCTTCATCTTCACCGTACACCACAGGATACCAAGTGTGTTCTGCCTGTATTTAAGAGTTGAGTAGGACTATGTGTGGTGGCTCACGCCTGTAATCCCAGCAGTTTGGGAGGTTGAGGCAAGAGGATTGTGCCTGGAGGATTGCTTGAGCCCCAGAGGTCAGGGCTATAGTGAGCTATCATTGTACCACTGCACTCCAGCCTGGATGATAGAGTGAGAGCCTGTCTCTATTTAAAAAAAAATAAAAATAAAAATAAAAATTTTAAGTTGTATATAAAAGCTTAGAACCATTTTAAAAAGAAGAGGAGCAAGTGAATATTTAATTGCTTTCTAGATGAGTAAGGACATATGAAGTAAGAAAGGGATAGAATGAAACAAAGGAAATAGCGAACAGATTTGACTACATAAAACTTCAAAACATAGCTACTAAAAAATAAACACAAGTGAAGATAATTAAAAACTATGAAATACACTTGGAGCAAATATGATAAATGATTAATATCCTATTGGCCGGGCACAGTGGTTCATGCCTATAATCCCAGCACTTTGGGAGGCCGAGGTGGGTGGATCACAAGGTCAGGAGTTCGAGGCCAGCCTGGCCAATATGGTGAAATCCCCTCTCTACTAAAAATGCAAAAATTAGCCGGGCTTGGTGGCGCATGCCTGTAATCCCAGCTACTCAGGAGGCTGAGGCAGGAGAATCACCTGAACCCAGGAGGCGGAGGTTGCGGTGAGCTGAGATCACTCCGCTGCACTCCAGCCTGGGCAACAGAGGAAGACTCCGCCTCAAAATGAATGAATGAATGAATGAATGAATGAAATCCTTAATCATGAAGAGTGCTTACAGATTAATAAGTGGATTAACAGTAACATACAAATCATGTTTTTAAAAAAGAATATTTGTGCAAAAAAAGAAAAAAGCCAGGCACCATGGTGCATGCCTATAATCCCACCTACTCAGGAGGATCGCTAAGCCCAGGAGTTTGAGATCAGTCTGCACAACATAGTGAGGCCCCCATCTCAAAAAATATATATATTTATATTTTAAGAAATTCACTAATAAAAGCAAATTGAAAGAATAGTGAGATAATATATTTAGTTATCAGCTTGGCAAAGTTTTTTTTTTAAGATCTATTCCTGGTGGTCTGTGGAATTGTGAGTATGGGCAATTTTTCTAGAAAGGTATTTGGAAGTGGATAACAAGACCTTAAGACTATTCATACCTTTTGTCCTCATAATTCTGCTTTTTAGCGTTTATCCTAAATAATGTTAAGATGTTTATTATAGCATTATTTTTATGTAGATTTTTAAATTGAGGGTATATCTTATCAGTAAAGTGCAAGATCTTAAGTCAACAGCTTAATGAACTTTTACATGCAAATACATCACGAAAGTATCTCCAGATCAAGACAGAACATTTCCAGCATCTAGAGGGATATACTCAGTACCCTACCTTCAGCAAGAGTAAACACTATTATGACCTCTATTGCATAGATTTATTTTGTTTACTTTAGAACTTCATATGATATTATTCATAATAGCAAAAAAATGCACAGGCCAAAAGTCAAAGAATAAGGAACTGATTAAATTATTGGTTCTCCATCTGATGCAATAATATGAAGCCATTAAAAAATGGCTTTGTTACAGAATTTCAGGTTGGAAGATGAAAAGGTTATGGAGATGGATGGTGGTGATGGCTGCACAATGATTTGAATGTACTCAGTGCCACTGAACTGTGTCCTTAAAAATGGGTAAAGCCACGGAACTGTACATTTAAAAATAGTTAAAATGGTAAATTTTATGTTGTGTACATTTTACAATTTTAAAAATTCTTTGAGACTTTAGGTAAAGTGTATAAATTTTTGTACAATTTTTGTCTTATAAATGTGAAGCTTTTTCAAGTAAGTTAAAAAAAGTTCACAGAATTTGTAATGTTGAATAAACAATCTCAGTATAGGTCAGGCGCAGTGGCTCACTCCTGTAATCCCAGCACTTTGGGAGGCTGAGGTGGGCGGATCACAAGGTCTGGAGATCGAGACCAATCCTGGCTAACACGGTGACACCCCGTCTCTACTAAAAATATGAAAACAAAAAATTAGCTGGGCGTGGTGGCAGGTGCCTGTAGTCCCAGCTACTCGGGAGGCTGAGGCAGGAGAATGGCGTGAACCCGGGAGGTGGAGGTTGCAGTGAGCCCAGATCAAGCCACTGCACTCCAGCCTGAGTGACAGAGCGAGACTCTGTCTCAAAAAATACTAATAATCTAAGTGTAATCACTGAAAAGAATATTCAGAGCATAGTGCATGTATAACATAATCCCAGTTTTTGTGGGGGAGTGAGAGTGGATTATACTTATGTACATACACATAAATGTACATTAAGTCTACATAAATTTGAAAGCCTGAGGAGAGATGAGATGATACACCGATGTTAATACAGTTTTCATTTTTGCGGTGATGCTTTCCTTTTACCAAACTTTCTGTGATTACCACATTTTCCTTTTATAATGAGAATAAAACAACTTTTTAAGAAGAAAGGACTAAAATGGAGGAAAATAAGACAAAACTTTTCAAAAATTGGCTTACTGGCTTTTAAAATTACTTTCTTCAAGGACTGTTATTTCTTCACCTCTACAAAAATATATTTGCCAAGTCTCTTTTCTCCAGGCCTGATTCTAGGTAATGGTCTTTACCTTTTACCGTTTTTTCCCTGAATTCTTAATATTAAATAATTGTTGATGTGATTCTCATTGACCATCACATGCTAATAGTGTATTTTTTTCCAGGTATTGAATTGAAACACCTTTGTTTGGAATACATGACTCCATGGCTGTCAAATCTAGTTCGTTTTTGCAAGCATAATGATGATGCCAAACGACAAAGAGTTACTGCTATTCTTGATAAGCTGATAACAATGACCATCAATGAAAAACAGATGTACCCATCTATTCAAGCAAAAATATGGGGAAGCCTTGGGCAGGTATTGAGTTTGCTCAAATATTTATCTAGTATCTCCTTTATGCAGGTATTTATCTGGTGCCTATGTTGGGCAAAGCACTGCCCCAGATACTAGGGATAGAGTTGTAAAAAGCACAATTTCCTCCTTCAGAAAGCATGTAGACACTCACCCAGCTCTTCATCTGATTCAAAATTGTAAATGTCTAGTGTATATCTCAGAGCCAGAGAAAAGCTAGTGATTTGCACAGTCTCCTTCTTGGCATAATTATAGACTGCTTTTATATAAAATAACTAGCTTATATATATATATATATAAAATATAGAACTGTGGAAATCTGATGACATTTCTAGTAAATAGTGCTTTATTCTAATTCTCTACATTCCAAAGGTGTCAGTAGATGTTTCTTCTTCTTGATGCTATTTGGGACATCTGCTTTCATTTATAGTTCTACATAAGAATGCCAGTATTAAAATAGGATATAATGTAAATTTTATTTTTATCTGACAAGAATTAGGCATATCATTTCTTCAGAGTAATCAATTAAGGAAATAATGTCCTCACTCAAACACTGCTGCTGCTCTTCCAAATAATTTGAAATAACCTTAGAGCCAGTGTTACAGCCCTAGAAAACATCTTGGTACTTGATGTCATTTCCTATATTTTATTTTTTTTGAGACTGGGTCTCACTCTGTTGCCTAGGCTGGAATGCAGTAGTGCAGTCTCGGCTCATTGCAACCTCTGCTTCCCAGGCTCAAGTGACTCTTCCACCTCATCCTTCCAAGTAGCTGGGCCTACAGGTGCACACCAACACATCTGGCTAATTTTTTTTTTTTTTTTTTTTTTTTTTTTTTTTTGAGATGGGTTTTTGGTATGTCGCCCAGGCTGGCCTTGAACTCCTGGCCTCAAGCAGTCCACCTGCCTCAGCCTCCCCAAGTGCTGAGATTACAAGCGTGAGCCACTGCACCCAACTCTGTATTTTCAAATAGCTATTTTATATTGATCCTACATTACTGTCTTAGAAAAGCACAGAGATACTTTGCAAGTGACTGAAGATAGTATTGATAGAGATTTAAAATTTTTGAATGCCAGTCTCTTAATCTCTGAAGGAATCAAATACATATACTCATCCTTTCCTGGATATTTTATAATAAATTGTATTTACTGACAGGTCTGTAAATAAAATGTAGTATTTTTGAGGCCTCAGGTAAAATAGAATTTTCATATTGATTAGGCTGTTCCAATGAATATTTTTAAATTAAAAATTGGTAGAGTGATTAAAAACATGTTATTTTCCTTCTTCAACTAGATTACAGATCTGCTTGATGTTGTACTAGACAGTTTCATCAAAACCAGTGCAACAGGTGGCTTGGGATCAATAAAAGCTGAGGTGATGGCAGATACTGCTGTAGCTTTGGCTTCTGGAAATGTGAAATTGGTTTCAAGCAAGGTAATCACTTTTCTTTTGCCCTCTGTACTATAGCATATCTGTTTTATCATCAGGAGGTTTTTTGTTTTGTAATTACTTTTAAACTGAACTTTTAGTTTAGTGCTAAAACTTTTAGTCCCATGTTTTTTAAAAAAGGAAATTCTTGCTTCTTTACAGGTTATTGGAAGGATGTGCAAAATAATTGACAAGACATGCTTATCTCCAACTCCTACTTTAGAACAACATCTTATGTGGGATGATATTGCTATTTTAGCACGCTACATGCTGATGCTGTCCTTCAACAATTCCCTTGATGTGGCAGCTCATCTTCCCTACCTCTTCCACGTTGTTACTTTCTTAGTAGCCACAGGTCCGCTCTCCCTTAGAGCTTCCACACATGGACTGGTCATTAATATCATTCACTCTCTGTGTACTTGTTCACAGCTTCATTTTAGTGGTAAGTTCTCGGAAAGGAATTTGTGTTTACCAGTTCCTTTCTCCATTTTACTTCACCTGATCAATATGGATTATCTTATTTATGTTGGTGCCCTAACACCAAGTTGCTAATTTAAGCCTGCGGTAATGATATGCAATATTACCAAAAAGAAAATAAATTACTTCCATTCCATATCAAGCTATAATAAAGCATACTTGTCGTGTAGACCCTTGTAGTTATCCCATAAGCAGAATACTCAGTGCCAGTTGACCATGTTCCATTACCAGCACTAATTTGTAGATAAATGAAGCAAGAAGCATTAATACAATGTATCTAGAGGTTTGATTTAGGGAGCATGATTATGTAATTTTTATATGGTATTCAGATTTTCTAAATTCAAAATGAAGCATGGAACTTTAGAAATTAAAAAGTAATATTTTCTGTCTTTTCTTGTTCCTTTATTCTCTTACAGAAGAGACCAAGCAAGTTTTGAGACTCAGTCTGACAGAATTCTCATTACCCAAATTTTACTTGCTGTTTGGCATTAGCAAAGTCAAGTCAGCCGCTGTCATTGCCTTCCGTTCCAGTTACCGGGACAGGTCATTCTCTCCTGGCTCCTATGAGAGAGAGACTTTTGCTTTGACATCCTTGGAAACAGTCACAGAAGCTTTATTGGAGATCATGGAGGTAGAGAAGGCAAAATGATAAGAAACTAAGTTAAAATCTTTTTTAAAAAATATGTAAATACTATATAGAAGAAATACTGGTTTATTGTGCTATTTTGCACTTAATGCTTAAATAAAACACTTCATGGACTGTGTTATTGGTAACAGATAGGTCACTTAATGACATCACAATAAACATTTAACAGTTCTAAAAACATTTATGCACATATGTATTCAGAGTATCCCCTTTTTTAGGCATGCATGAGAGATATTCCAACGTGCAAGTGGCTGGACCAGTGGACAGAACTAGCTCAAAGGTATGTCCCAAATTAAATATAAGTTTTAAAAATATGTGTATTGTTGAAAATACAGCTGTTACTGTATGATCAATATTATAATTTATAATTTATTATTTAGTATACATAAACACAAAGGTTTTTATAAGTTCTGTGGATCTTTTAATTGCAGATTTGCATTCCAGTATAATCCATCCCTGCAACCAAGAGCTCTTGTTGTCTTTGGGTGTATTAGCAAACGAGTGTCTCATGGGCAGATAAAGCAGATTATCCGTATTCTTAGCAAGGTACCTGTTCCACCCTCACTTCTCCCAAATATTTATGGTTCTCAAGTTGTAAAGCATATCTTTCATTTTTCTAAAAGACATTTAAATTTGAGGTCAATAAAATATATGTTACTTATTAAGCCTTTAAAATGTATTTTGATTATTTATTGTAATTATTTGAAGTCTTCTCTAAAGAAGCTGTCTTTATTTGTAAACTCTGATTACTTCGATAAGGAAGATGTCTTTAAAATAAAATATGTTGCCTCTTTTGCTAAGCAGGTACACTTAGTATTTTACCAGTTTTCAAAGTATTTAATTATATGGTAAGACTATAGCCTTGTATAAAATTATTTAATTTGTAATTACTATCATAATGTCTGACTCTTATAATGTAGAAATATCAAAACATAAGAAAACAAATGTACATTAAGCTAGCTATGAAGATCACCATAGCATTAGAAATCATTCTAGCATTTGTTAAATAAGTAAATGTTCCTGAATTCATTCTGAGATTCAGTTTAGGAGTTAATGTTTTATTTTAATGAAAGTAAAATAAAAAATTCTGTTTTCCTAAAAGGCACTTGAGAGTTGCTTAAAAGGACCTGATACTTACAACAGTCAAGTTCTGATAGAAGCTACAGTAATAGCACTAACCAAATTACAGCCACTTCTTAATAAGGTAATTACTGTACAGAAAATGAGCACATTCATTTTGGGTATCAGTGTTGAATTTTACTTTCTTTCAAAGAGTTTAGAAAATGAGATGAGAATAAGTTATAATGAAAAAGCTATAGTTAAAGTAGAACCTCTTAGTTGTTTGAAGTAGTTATATTAGGAGAAGAGTAAGTATGGCTAGTATGTTCTCAAGTGCTTATAAGTTTTTTTCTCATCAGTGCTAAAGGAAAGATAGGTATATATTCTTAATTATTTTATCTTATAAGTATTGATTATCTACTGTTGCCAAGGACTGTTTTAGGCGCTAGAGATAGAGTACTAACAAAGCCCATAAAACTCACTGCTCTCACAGAGCTTACTTTCTGGGGTGGGTGTGGAGGTTGGGGAGTGAGTGGATAATAAAGTAAACCAAATACATAGTATGTTAGTGATTATTACTATGGAGAAATTAGAGCTGAGAGACGTATACTTGATCATCATAAGAGTTTGGGTGCCAAATGAAGATAATATTTAAAAGGAGTAAAATGATGTGGCCACTGTTTTAGGATGGTCTGAGCTTAACCCATTTTTATATTTAATATATCTGGACATCATGTTTTCGTATTAATAAAATGAAAAATCTTAGATTAGATAATGGCATAGTGTTACCCTCCAGTTCTAAAGTAGTTTAATTCTGTGATTTGAGTACAAAGGTATGCCAGACTTGGGAGAGATAACAGAGAAATAAATACCTGTTATATTCCTGGTTTGTCTACAAACATCCTAATTTTATATTATACAAAATGGTTCTCTGGTCCCCATCTTATAAGTGAAAATGAGCTCAGAAGGGCTAAATAATTTGCCCAAGGTCACATACCTAATAAAAGAACCATGATTCTAATGCAGTACTATTTGACTCTAAAGTCCATGTATTTTCCCTAATATCACAGTGCTAAACAAGGATTGCCAATAATACATGCTTTTAATTTGGAGCAACAAGAGATTACCGTACTGGTTAAGAGTGACAAGAAGTTGAAAAGACAGAGTTTAAACTAAAGTTAAAGGGAAACATAGGAGTTAATGTAGGTAGAGAGAAGGGGAGAGAGCTGCACAAGAATGCCAGGACAATGGAGGGAAGGTGGGTAGAACATTCTAGTTGTAATGGAGAAACTTTTCAAAGGAATCAAGAGAGGGAAAGTTGTGAGGACTGGATAGACCTCATCCCATATTCAGCATTGTTCAGAAAAGAGTTTGGAAATGTACAGCTTTTAAGCAGGCAAGTCATGTGATGAAAGCAGGACTTAGATCCTGGTGATAGTGTGCACAGTGGATTGGAGTAGGGAGAAACTGAGGTAAAAAGAATCCACCTTTATAATAAAGAAGGTTGGCATGTGGTAATGTCATTAGCAATGAGAAAGAAATGACGATACAAAAGAGACTACTGTAGAAGAATCGACAAACCTTGGTGACTGGATTTAGAAGTCAAAGAACAGGGAGAAGTCAAAGGAGGTGCTAAGTAATGTTCTCAGTCCAGCTAACAGTGTCTTTAGTTATACATATGAAAAGGTGAAGAGCTTACCTGTATCTTTATCTTCCCCAAAAGAGAAAACTTGGGTAATTTAGGAAGATAAGCTGCTTTATTTTTTACTGCAGTGTGTTTTGAAAGAGACTACATTATGATTCATCTTACTAGCCTCAAACATGTCTCCTTTGCCAGGACTCACCTCTGCACAAAGCCCTCTTTTGGGTAGCTGTGGCTGTGCTGCAGCTTGATGAAGTCAACTTGTATTCAGCAGGCACAGCACTTCTTGAACAAAACCTGCATACTTTAGATAGTCTCCGTATATTCAATGACAAGGTAAGCAGGCTTTCCCTTGAGGTTCCTAGATTACTCAAATTTAGAATACTCTTCCATCTTTTATTGTTGCTATTCTTTTAAAATCACAAGAAGTCCATAACTTAAATATGAATTTCTATAATGTAACTTATTGTGAGTATATTTCCTTACCAGCTCATAAAGAACTATGTAAACTCAAATGCATATTTTTTATATAAAAATAGCAAAAAAAACAAAAAGTACTGGCCTAATACTAGTAGAATTCTAGAATAAGGATAAATAATACATGATTATCCTTACAGAATGAGGATAAATAATACATGGTAAAAATATTAATAGCTACCATGCCAGGCTATATGCTAAGCACTATTATTTTTAATTTTCATAACCTTAAGGTAAAGGTTAGCATTCTCTGTCACCCATTTCACAAGTGAAGAAATAATATAAAAGTAATCTTATTTTTACTTAATAATGCCACCTAATGAAAAATAGGTATAATTCATAGTAGATAAGGAAGCTGGAGAGTCTAAAGGAAACTTTTGGGTACTTAATTTTACTAGTTTTTTCCTTCTGTCTAATCTTACTTTAAAATATACCATTAGTGGCCAGGAATTGTGGTTCACACCTGTAATCCTAGCACTTTGAGAGGCCAAGACAGGTGGATCAGTTGAGCTCAGGAGTTAGAGACCAGCCTGGGCAACATGGCAAAACCCCATCTCTACAAAAAAGGCAAAAATTAGCTGGGCATGGTAGCATGCATCTGTAATCCCAGCTACTTGGGAGGTGAGGTAGGAGGATTGCTTGAGTCTGAGAAGCAGAGCTTGCAATGAGCTGAGATCACACCACTGCACTCCAGCTTGGGCAACAGAGCGCGACCCTGTCTCCCAAAAAAAAAATGTGTGTATACATATATTATACACACACATATATATGTAATGTATGTGCATACATATATAAAGTGTGTGTGTGTATATATATATATAAAAAATATATATAAAATCCAACTCCAGTTAAGGTTAATAAATGTTAGGAGGGGTGCCAGTGGTGTGTGTGTGTGTGCGCATGCGCATGCGTGTGTGTGTGTATGTGTATATATATATGAACATGGGCAAGTTTGTTGCAGGATCTGGCCAGCAGCCTGCAATGCAACGGGGCTCGCTCTTTGTTCCCAGGCAGGTTGGCAGGTCGAGAAATAATAGACACACACAAGATAGTGAAAGCTGGGTCCAGGGGGATCACCACCTTCTGGTCCTGTGATGCCGTCAATGCACTGGATGTACCAGCATTTATTATTAAGTTTAGTGAGGGCGGGGGTAGGTTAGTGAGGGATTTAGGGTCATTTGATTATGAGGTGAGATGGTCACATGGCGTGAAAGTAATTCTTTAACATAGTATCTGTATGCAGAAGTACAGTATACAGAGATAAGAATTTATAATACAGTGTGTGCATCAGTAAATTTCTAACAGAGCCTTAAAACAGAAGCACAGTCTCTCCATAACCTCTGATTAGTAAGATATTAATCAGCAGTAACAGTTGCAGCAAAAGCTGGTTACAAACAATCCATAGAAACAGGATGTGAAGCTAGACAACCTGTTAGACCAGAAATTCGCAGAAGGGAGTATGCCTTAACCCTAAAGAGGCCTAGAAGAGCTGTGGCAAGATGAGGGCATTTATGGCCTTATCTTATCCATATGAACAGGCACCCCTCATGTGTCCGTTTATAGGCTCTCCACAAGGGTCGCATTCCATTCCTAGAGCTATGAACATCTGCTTTTCTGGGATAGGAATCTTGGTGATGTGAAACCTCCCTGACTGCACATCTGTCCATAGGCTCTCTGCAGGGGGAAAGCACATCACATGCTGTTGGCTCATTCTGGCAGTCCATCCTGCCATTGTCTTTACACAATCCTGCATGCAATTTTGTATTTACAATAATCAGGAGCATTTCCTCTTTGATTCTGTAGCAATAGTTTCAGGGGTCTCCCTACACAAGTTACTTCTTAGTTCCTTTCTAATTTGTAAAATGGAGATCTGATTGGGGCTGGATTTTAGTTCGTAGAGAATAGAGGAGAGAATAAAATAGTATGAAATTATGTCCCTTTTGTCTTTGGATAAAAATGGGAAGTGTCTAGGAGAAAAGAGGGGAATGTTTTTAAAAGAATGTGTATATACAGTGAGATGTGCCTGAAGTGAAATTAACTGAACTGTGGGTAGAAAGAACAGGATTATGGTTTTAAGTGTAAAGATACTTGGTCTAAACATTATTAGTTCAGACTACCAGATGTAGTGTGAACCTGAAACAGCTATGGGTCTGAGATATATGGACACAAAATTTTAGGAGTAGGAGGTCTTATGGAGTTTATTAATCAGACCTCCATTTTGCAAATTAGAAAGGAACTAAGAAGTTAAGTCACTTGCCCATGTTTGTACATCTGTTTTGAGACTAGAACCCCTCTTTCCTAATTCTCATTGCCCTTTTTCTAGAACTATTTTGGGATAATGGTGGTCAGTGATATCTAGTTGTTGGCTATTTATATGTTAAGAATATTTGCAGATTGGCTGGGTGCAGTAGCTTATGCTTGTAATTCCAGCACTCTGGGAGGCCGAGTTGGGAGGATCACTTCAGGTCAAGTGTTTGAGACCAGCCTGGCCAACATTGTGAAACCCTGTCTCTACTAAAAATACAAAAATTAGCCACGGTGGCACGTGTTTGTAATTCCAGTGACCTGGGAGGCTGAGGTGGGAGGATCACTTGAACCCAGGAGGTTGCAGTGAGCCAAGATGGTGCCACTGCACTCCAGCCGGGGCAACAGAGTGAGACTCCGTCTCAAAAAAGTATTTGCAAATGGAGCATTGCAAATGGGGCATCTGCCTCGGTATTTTCATCTTCAGAACAGCCCAGTAGCAGGCGCTAATATTGATTCTGGTGCCCTTAGGATGCTAGGCATCGAGAGTTAATAAGCATGTTAAAAGTCACCAGGATGTAAATTTACAGTTATTTATTTTGTATTGTAAATAAAAGTGATTTCATCTTCCACCATCTTCTTAATTCATATGTTTGACTGTCTTGCACCAGTTAATTTGTAGTAGCTAAAATGTTCTGTGGTTTTTCTGCCGTCAACTGAAAATAATTTCTCTCAAATTGAAAGGATTACTTATCTTGTCGTACTATTGAACACAAAAACCAGTTAAGTGAGCCTTTAAAGAAAGCTACTGTGTGAACCTCATCAACCATCTCATGATTATCTTTAATAGAGTCCAGAGGAAGTATTTATGGCAATCCGGAATCCTCTGGAGTGGCACTGCAAGCAAATGGATCATTTTGTTGGACTCAATTTCAACTCTAACTTTAACTTTGCATTGGTTGGACACCTTTTAAAAGGTAAAAGCCTTATGTTAGAATATCTTTATGAAATAGTATTAAGAAACCAGAAGTAATTTGAGTAAGTGATTACTTGAAATAAATTGAAGTAAGTTAGCCCATATGTCTTACTTTAAATGCAAACTAGGCCGGGCGTGGTGGCTTACGTCTGTAATACCAACACTTTGGGAGGCTGAGGCAGGAGGATCACTTGAGGCTAGGAGTTTGAGACCAGTCTGGGCAACATAGTGAGACTTCATCTCTACAGAAAAAAATTAGCCAGACACGATGGCACGTGCTTGTAGTCTCAGCTACTTAGGAGGCATAAATGGGAGGATTGCTTGAGCCTGGGAAGTCGAGGCTACAGTGAGCCATGATCACACCACTGCACTCAGCCTAGGTAACAGAGTGAGACTTTGTCTCAATAAATAAATAAATGCAAACTGTATCTGTCCTAATGAGTTGTGTTTTGTTTGATATGTGTTTTATGAGAGCCTCATTTCCATATCAAATACCATATTTGCCTGAAAAATCAAAGAGTTTATTCTGGCTGGGTATGGTGGCTCAAACCTGTAGTCCCAGCACTCTGGGAGGCCGAAGCAGAAGGATCAAGTCTTGAGCTCAGGAGTTCGAGACCAGCCTGGGCAATATGGTGAAACCCCCTTTCTACAAAAAATACAAAACATTAGCCAGGTGCAGTGGCACATGCCTGTAGTCCCAGCTACTTGGGAGGCTGAGGAGGGAGAATCACTTGAGCCCAGGAGGTCAAGTCTGCAGTGGGCCATGACCATGCCACTGCACTCCAGCCCGGGTGACAGAGTGAGACCCTGCCTCAAAAAAAAAAGACCACAGAGTTGATTCCTAAAAAACCTACATGCTGAGTCTTATAATAGCTGTATTATTATTAATAGTAACAATACCTAAGTATCTTACTGATTTTCAAAATAAAACAGACTGCAAATCACTGAGTGTTATTTGAATAATTTATATTAGAAAATGTTAAGAGATTTGATCACAGATTTTCTTCAACCTGTTTATAGTTTATTGTTGATTAATACTATTATTTTATACCATTGTATCTCACCTTTCTGGTACCCTATCCTCACCCCTTTCTATATTTCTTATAGCCAGTGATCTCCAGCTATTCCTCAGAGCCAGCTCATTCACTTCCTAACCTGGTTTTACTCCCCATTGCTGACTTCACAGCCTGTTAACTTTGGTTCATTAACATGGGGCAGTCATGGCCAGAGACTGCAGTTAATAGGAACGGCATGTAGTGGTGGGTCAGAAGCAAAGCAGGGTAAAGTAAGACCTGGGAGAAGGAGCTGGCATGAACCCCAGTGGTCTCAGCAGTGGATTTGGCCACAATAGAGATTCAAGCTATAGCTTGAGTCAACAATTTTGTATCAATTTAAATCTTAGGCTTGAGGGACCATGGAGATTCCCCCAGTTTTTATGAGAGAGAGAGAGAGAGAGAGATGCATACACCCACTACTATGAATGTATGCATTTGATTTCACTTTCTTAGGAAATTTCTACAAAAAATATTGACAGTGTTAATCTCTAAGGTCAGTAGGGATTTCTCAAAAAATATTACACTTACTAAAGGATACCAAGATAAGTAATTGCAACTGGGCTAATAAAGTGCTTACTTATTCTTTATATCTAGAAGAATATCAGGCTGGGCACAGCGGCTCACGCCTGTAATCCCAACACTTTGGGAGGCTGAGGCAGGCGGATTGCTTGAGGCCAAGAGTTCAAGACCAGCCTGGCCAACATGGTGAAACCCCATCTCTACTAAAAATGCAAAAATTAGCCAGGTGAGGTGGTGCACACCTGTAGTTCCAGCCACTCAGGAGGCTGAGGCACAAGAATTGCTTGAACCTGGGAGGCAGAGGTTGCAGTGAGCCAAGATCCTACCACTGCACTCCAGCCTGTGTGACAGAGTGAGACGCTGTCTTAAAAGACAAGAAAAGAATACCAGATATTTTCCATGTTCAAATCACTTTTGAACATGTGATTTTTTAAATGGGGGTAGCATTAATGATTAAAAGCTGGCCAAAGATCAAATTTATCCTCTAATCAACCCTATTTTTTGGGCTGTTAGAGCATATACTTCCTATGTCATCAGGTTTTCTTTTAATTAAAAGTGTTTTTGTAAAATAACTCTATTTTCAAAAGAAATCTTAAGGAGAATTCTAATACATAGATTTTTTTTTTTAATCCCTGTGCTGCTTTAGGAAATAGAAGATCTGAAAGACTATCATGTTTTTTAATTTTCCTCTTCCTGGAGTACTATAGAGTTCTAGGGAATATTATTATATTCTACACATTTTTGGTACTTAATCTTATACATAGTTAATTATTCACATTCACATATGTATGTTTTACCTTCCCAAATGGCTATTCTTGGAAAGTAGGAGTTATACTTCCTTTCCTTGCAGAGTTGTTAGTCAAAAGTCAGGGAAGAAGACCTCAGCAGATACTTGTTCAAAAAATTAATTCTTATTTGTTTGTTTGTTTTTTTGTAGGGTACAGGCATCCTTCACCTGCCATTGTTGCAAGAACAGTCAGAATTTTACATACACTACTAACTCTGGTTAACAAACACAGGAATTGTGACAAATTTGAAGTGAATACACAGAGCGTGGCCTACTTAGCAGGTAAAAACACAAAATAAACAAAATTAATCTTGCTACAGCTATATGTAAGGATCACCCAAAAAGTGCAAATACCTATAGGTTTTTGGCGATTGCTTGGCAGAGTAGAAAGTTCACAATCTAGTCCTTTAGTGATTAAAATTTTGAGAGTTTTGCCAGAACATTTTTCTGTAGGAATAAATTTAATTCCCATTAAAATCTGAAATGTGTTCCCTTGGTCATCTTTGGTTCAAGACACAACAGTGGCTCTCTGTTATCCATCATAAAATCTGAATGCTTCAGTCTAGCATCCTGGGCCCTTAAATAGCCTTCTCAGTTCTGTTATCTTTCTCCAAATTTCATGAGCTTCATTTTTTATTACCACTCCAAATGGATGAGCTATTTTAAGCTAATCTACTTGCCATCTCCTGCAAGTGACTGCCTCTTCAATATTCATTCCTTATGTGATTTTATCTGGAATGTCTGCCCTGTCCCCACCATTCCATTAAAGCTTCCTGTTTGCTTTTATCTGATTTTTGTTTCTTTACTCAGCAACACTTAGCACTTACGTACAATTCTTGAATGTAGTTGTTTGATGGAAAGTGCTGATTCTCAGTTTCACAGACTTCTGTTTGTTCAACTTTTTTGTTTGAACCATATCACCTTGAGCAAATCATTTAACATCTCTGTATTTGTTCTCACTCAACTTAATAATACCTGCCCTGCCTACTTTGTGTTTGTTAAAATCAAATGTACATTAAAGCACTTGGAAAATAAAAGATGCTTATTAAATATCTTTGTATATTTCATGTTTATGTAGTCTTCCAAAATATGTGCACATTTAACAGGTATTATCCTCTTTAGGAGACTGTAAGTTCATCCTGTTTTAAGTCACACTTGTGATTTGTTAAATTTTTTAACCTACCACCATTTTCCTTTTAGCTTTACTTACAGTGTCTGAAGAAGTTCGAAGTCGCTGCAGCCTAAAACATAGAAAGTCACTTCTTCTTACTGATGTTTCAATGGAAAATGTTCCTATGGATACATATCCCATTCATCATGGTGATCCTACCTATAGGTAAGTGGATTTACTCTCCTATAATCAAGTTTCAATTTTCCAACTAATGGAGGCAAGCAGCAGAGTTATCTAGAAGGTAATATGGGGGAAATCTAGTGATGGCCTAGGAAGAGTGTGTAAGTCAAAACTCATTTTATAAATGTGTAGTATTTTATGTGGGTTAGTAGGAAAGTTATTCTTCCAGTCTAATTGTGCTAATGTTAACATTAGTTTGCCTCTGAAGCACAGACCAATTGAACAATGAAAAGAGACGCTCTTGAAAATATTAGGTTGTGGGGGAAGGGCCTGGGGAAAAAAAAGTAACGCAAAATATAAACAACACATTACGTGCTTGGATAGAGAACGAATCTATACAGATTTGTAAAAATACAGACATGCTAACACGTTTGTTGTATTTACTCATATCACACTAATGTTATTTAAAGTTTTCTATAATGTAGATTTAGATGGTCAAAATTATATCTGTTATACATGGTTTTGGGTAATATATTTTTCAGTATAATTTGGAGAAATTTCATGAAAATGGCATCATTGGGGGATTTTTCTGTATTTTCAACTAAAAAAAATTTCTTTAAGGTTTAGGGACAGTGTTGAATGTAGAAAAGTTATCTTCTGTTCGCAAAACTCATATCATTCCATTTATCAACATCCTGCTTTTTGATAAAAAGACTTCAACAATTTCCTTAAGATTCTAACAATGTATGCAAAAATTTTTCAAACGTACTTGGTATTCAGTAGTCTTACTTTTGTCAGTCCCATTATTATATTACTTTGAGATATGCCCTTTTTGTTATAGAAAAAGTAAAATAGTTTGCCTGTGTTCCCCTGTCAAAACTATAAATTAATGTCTGATTTTCTTGGTTTTTAAACAGTTGCCTGTTTAGACTTGATTTTTTCTGATTTAAAAAAAAAAATCAGTGCAATAAGTTCAAGGTCTTTTATCAGCATAACTACAGTTAATAACAATGCGTTTTATACTTGAAAATTGCTACAAGAGTAGATTTTAAGTATTCTCACCGCAAAAGATAAATATATGAGGTAACACATATGTTAATTAGCTTGATTTAGCCATTCTACAATGTAAACATATTTTATTTATCTTTATTTTTATTTATTAATTTTCTTAGAGACGGAGTCTCACTCTGTCGCGTAGGCTGGAGTGCAATGGCACAATCTCAGCTCACTACAACCTCCGCCTCTTGGGTTCAAGTGATTCTCCTGCTTCATCCTCCTGAGTAGCTGGGATTACAGGCGCGCACCACCATGCCCGGCTATTTTTTGTATTTTTGTAGAGATGGGGTTTCACCGTGTTGGGCAAGCTGGTCTTGAACTCCTGAACTCAGGTGATCCACCCGCCTTGGCCTCCCAAAGTGCTGGGATTACAGGCATGAGCCACAGCGCCCAGCCAATGTAAACGTATTTTAAAACATAATGTTGTACACCAAGCTTGTCAAACCCATGGCCCGCAGGCTGCACCCAGCCCCGGAGGGCTTTGAATGCAACCCAACACAAATTTGTAAACTTTCTTAAAACATTATGAGATTTTTGCAATTTTTTTTTTAAGCTCATCATCTGTAGTTAGTGTTAGTGTATTTTATGTGTGGCCGGGAATATTCTTCTAATTCCACTGTGGCCCAGGGAAGCTAAAAGATTGGACACCCCTGTTGCTATACCTTTTTATTTGTCAGCTTTTAACAATTGCAGTACAGTTCTTTTTGCTCAGCATTTGGTGAGTTCAGTACTCACCAAATGTACTATGTACAAGATACTGTGGCAAGAAAGTTGATAATTCCTGGGGATACAACAAGAGTTTGTACCCTAAAGCCCTTTAAAGTACAGTTTTAAAATTAATTGATTGCTGTTGATAGGAAATAGGACAGCCACTTGGAAGGAGCAAACAATGGTTATATTTGTCACCATGTTAATTAATTTTTCTCTATTGTTTTAATCTCTCAGGACACTAAAGGAGACTCAGCCATGGTCCTCTCCCAAAGGTTCTGAAGGATACCTTGCAGCCACCTATCCAACTGTCGGCCAGACCAGTCCCCGAGCCAGGAAATCCATGAGCTTGGACATGGGGCAGCCTTCTCAGGCCAACACTAAGAAGTTGCTGGGTTAGTTTATCTAAATTATGTAGATTTTTTTTTATTATTTTAAAAAAAGGATATTTTTACTCTTGGAAAATTATTTGAAATTGCAAGATTATCAAAATTTTCCATCTCAATGAGGCAAAGTTTTTGATGCCATTTAAAAGAGAGTTTGATAGATCAGTTAAGCATTGTAAGTTGAGATAGAGAAATGAGAATGGGGCCTTGAAACGGTTTTTTCTGCATCTTAGACTATTGTGACTCTGCTTATTTTGTTTTGCCTTGGCTGGTCAGCAGGGAATGGAACTCTGAGACATATTAGATAAACACCTATAAGAAAGCAAGAGTCTTGCTGCACTCAGGGGATTTAGTGATATACTGTAATACTTCCCAAAATTATCATCTGAGAGAATATGTGAATATGGTATGAAGCTATAATAGTACTATTTGCCATGCTTTCTTTGAAAAGACAATAAGACATGTTTTTCAATTACCGAAAGAAAATAGGATTCTTTTTTTTTTTTTCCTTGAGATGGAGTCTTGTGTTCACCCAGGCTGGAGTGCAGTGGCACAATCTCAGCTCACTGCAACCTCTGCCTCCTGGGTTCAAGCAATTCTCCTGCCTCAGCCTCCGTAGTAGCTGGGATTACAGGCAACATCACCACTTCTGGCTAATTTTTGTATTTTTAGTAGAGATGGGATTTCCCCATGTTGGCCAGGCTAGTCTTGAACTCCTGACCTCAGGTGATCCGCCCTCCTCGGCCTCCCAAAGTCCTGAGATTACAGGCATGAGCCACTTTGCCCAGCCAGAAGATAGGATTCTTGAAATTAAGATTGCTCAGTTACATCAACATTTATAGAATTTTTATCTCTGAGAAGTACACCTAAAACGCCACGAGACTCATTTCCATTTTAGTAACTGAAAGTAAATGAATGAAAGAACCCAGTAGGCCAGATGCAGTGGCTCACACCCATAATCCCAGTACTTTGGGGGACTCAGGTGGGAGGATTGCTTGAGTCCAGGAGTTCAAGACCAGCTTGGGCAACATGACAAAACCCATCTCTACAAAAAATACAAAACTCAGCTAGGCATGGTGACAAGCACCTGTAGTCCCAGCTACTCACGAAGATCACTTGAGCCCAGGAGGCAGGGGTAGCAGTGAGCCAAGATTGCACCACTGCACTCTAGCCTGGGTGACAGAGTGAGACCCTGACTCCAAACAAACAAACAAACAAAAACACTGATCTTACATTGCTGCTCAGAGGAAATGCAGAGATGTTCTTCTGTTCCATTGGGTAAAATTGTAATTATTACTGGAATACATTGCGATCTATATTTCAGTGGCCAACACTGTGAATAGTTCAACAGATTTCAGTTATCCATGCAAACACATTTAATATCTTTAGATATTAGAAGAATGTTTGTGTTCATAAGGAAATTAGTGAACAAACAACAAATTGTAACATAAATAACCTGCCAGTAAACCATGAAAGAAATAGAAACCGTGAATGTCAATCACGGTTACTAGCCACATAGGTGTGTTACTGTTGTTGAGTTCCCTTCTGTTAGTACCTTGCCATAGGTAATCTTTTAGGAGTTTCCTGGTTACTTTGTGTTTTGTAATTCTGGATTTTCATGCCAATGAAGTTGTAAATGAAAAACTAACCTCAGAAAAAAATGTAGTATTGAATTCGTTCAACCCATGTACTAAGTGAAAAAGATATGGTAACTGCCCTGGAAGAGTTTGTAATTTGTGTCCAAGACTTATAATCAGCCAATCACAACAGCAATTCCAGGTGCCATTACAATGATATGTCTTAATGGAGGAAACTGGAGATCTGGGGAAATTAGAAGAAAAAAAAAACTGCAGCGAGGAGATAACATTTGAGCTATGTCCAAAAGATTTAATATATGCTTGCTAAATAGACAACAGGATAAGTAGGGGTGTATGTTTAAGGGCAGTGGGGAATAGCAAGAGTAAAGAAAAGGCGGGAAAGCAACATGATACATCATGGCATCATGGGGAATGGGGTAGGAAATGAGATGAGAAGAAGGATTAGAACTCGATTGGAAACGACTGTGTGCCATGATAAGAGATTTTTCCTTTATCACGCGTTCAGCTGAGGTATTTAAGTAGGGGAAGAACATGACCAAATTTTAATTTTCGCCAAGTTTTTCTAACAGCAATGTGGAGAGACAAGAACAGATTTTTAGCAAGGGAACCATTTAATAAAATTGATATAGCAGTCCAAGTAAAAAAAAATTTTAAAAATGGTGTGGGCCCCGCACTAAGGCAGGAGCAATGAGAGAATGGAGAAGAACCAGCAGGTTTGGAGCTGGGCATAATGGTACACATCTATAGTCCCAGGAACTCAGGAGGCCAAGGCAGGAGGATTGTTTGAGGCTGACCTGGGCAGCATAGTCAGACCCTGTCTCAAAAAAAACAAAAATCAGGTTTGGAGTAGGTTTCTGAAGTAGAATGGACATGACTTAGTGACCAATTGTTACAGGTGGGGAAGGGGAGAAGATCGTGAAGGATGTCAGAAGTTTTTAGTTTTAAAAACTGTCTGGATAGTGATTCCATTATAGAGATCAGGACTAATATGTTTACAGTACATGATAAATTTAGGTTGGTTGATTATATTGGAATATTTTCAAGACATCTAGGAGTATATAACTAAGAGATAAACCACAAGATATACCTGGAATTCAGGAAGAAAGTAGATGAGTAAACATTTAGAATTGATTAGCTCACAGATAGTTGAAGCTATGGAAGCAGAATGAGATCTTCCAGGAAGAATGCAGAGAATAAAATAAAAAGGACAAGTGAGAAAGGAAGGAAAACTAAGTGTAGAAAGTAGTGTCCCAATCTCATGGAGTATGGAAAGCACTGACTGGTTTTAGAAAACCTAAGTTTTCCATCTGGTCATTGTCTAGATCCCTAGCCATGCTGCCTCAGACTAATTACTTAACTGCTCATGGCTTCATCGGTGTACATGTGCATGAAACGAAAAAGCTGAACTAGATCCCTTTGGGCTGTTAAATTATTTGGCCTTGGTATTCATGACTATTATGAATAGTTATTCGTGTTAATTCTTGAGGTAATAGACTTTGTATTTCTCAAGTGTTAAATTGTCAGATTTTCTTATATTGGCTTTAATTCTGGCTTTAAAAAAGTAATACTGTTGGCCGGGCCTGGTGGCTCATGCCTGTAATCCCAGCACTTTGGGGAGACCAAGGCAGGTGGATCGCTTGAGCCCAGGAGTTCGAGACCAGGCTGGGCAACATGGAGAAACCCTGTCTCTACTAAAAATAGAAAAATCAGCTGGGTGTGGTAGTGTGCACCTGTAGTCCCAGCTACTGGGGAGGCTGATGTGGGAAGATCATCTGAGCCCAGGACGCGGAGGTTACAGTGAGCTGAGATCATATCACTGCACTCTAGCCTGGGCCACAGAGCGAGACCCTGTCCAAAAAAAAAAAAAAAAAAAAAAAAAAAAATATATATATATATATATATATAGTGTTAATACATGATTACATGAATAGAGAAACTAAAAGCCAAGTGGGAGATAATGCTACTTGCTATTTTTGAAGCATCTCCCAGTGTATCTGGTTTTTAGTATTTTCAGGCATGCATATCTTTTTTTCAAAGCTTAAAAAATTAAAATCAAACTCTGCTTTTTTCCTAAGCTTGGAAATTACTCATGTATTAATGAGTAGTTCTTGCCACCAGCAGCATTTTTTAAACTGAAAAGACTGGTCAGACATAGCTGACCTTTGGTACTGAATAATGCCTACCCTTGTATTTATTATCAGTTATCATATTTGTTGATTTACCTCTAGTGTAGTTTGGTTTACCTCCAGTGTACAGAATATAATCTCAGTTTAATTTGCACCAGCAAGGTGCATCCTATCCTGAAACGGAAAGCTATGGGAACAAAACCCTTTGAGAAGATGGAAAATAAAGGAAAGAAACTGCTCCAGGGATATATTAGAGCTTTCTTTTAGTCCTAAGTGAAAGCTTAAACACTTTATGTCCAAACATTTTCTTTTTAGTATATTCCCATTTATACCATTTATAGACATTGTGGTTAATGAACTTCCATATTCTGTAACTTTTGTTTATAGGAACAAGGAAAAGTTTTGATCACTTGATATCAGACACAAAGGCTCCTAAAAGGCAAGAAATGGAATCAGGGATCACAACACCCCCCAAAATGAGGAGAGTAGCAGAAACTGATTATGAAATGGGTGAGAAACAAAGTATTGATCTAGATCGTTGAAAATAAGGTGGGAGAGTACATGAAGGTCATGTTTATTTTCCAGCTATTTCTTAGAATCTTTAGAATGAAATACAGAAACGTTTGCCATTTCTCAAAAGATAAACTCTACCATTCTTAAAATGACAGTTATCTTGAAGCTTGTGTAAAAAATAGTCATATATATTATATACAGCATTGTAAATAAGTAACCAAAACTTTTGTATAGGTGAATAGTAATTCTATATGATGTTTATGTTAGTACTTAAAGTATCTACTAAAGAAAGCTGTTGAATTGTAGAAGTAACATTGAAATAGGTGAAGTGATTATCCAGGTGTTTGATTAATACAGCTGATCACATTAATTCCCTGTCTTACTGCAGAAACTCAGAGGATTTCCTCATCACAACAGCATCCACATTTACGTAAGGTTTCGGTGTCTGAATCAAATGTTCTCTTGGATGAAGAAGTACTTACTGATCCAAAAATCCAGGCGCTGCTTCTTACTGTTCTAGTAAGGATTTCCCCTTTTTGAGTCCCCCACCCTCAAATTTTTATTCCAGTCTACTTTTAGGAGGCCCTTAAATATTAGAAACATGAATAGGATACAGTCTTCTACTTCTCACCCAAACAGATAACATTTCAGCCACAAAGTAAAAATGTTGTGTGTTTACTTTTTTGCATCTTGGCAGGCTACACTGGTAAAATATACCACAGATGAGTTTGATCAACGAATTCTTTATGAATACTTAGCAGAGGCCAGTGTTGTGTTTCCCAAAGTATTTCCTGTTGTGTAAGTATCTCCTTTTGGTTTAATTAACCTTCGTGCCTGTCTTTAAGTCAAATGCTTACCCAGTAATGTGCACTGGTTGCAAAGAGGGCAAAATGAGATATTGTGATAGTGATTTTTAGCTTTGAGATAGTAGATTTAATGAGGGTTAAGATTAGTTTTGACCTATTAGATCTATTAGAAAGTTTATAAGGAAAGACTTTTAAAAAAACTGGTTTATGTAAGTGGTTTATTTTGATGATCATTGCTCATTTTCCTCACTTAGAAGCAAACTATTAGACTGCTATATCTAAATCAGCATACCTGTTTTGGTTTACTTTTTAGTAGAGCTTTTGTATTTATCCACAGCTGAGTGAAAACGACATTGACCAAAAGAGGTGAATTTTATTCTCTCTTAAGGACTAAAAATATTAACCTCAAAGTATTCAAATTTAAATAGCTCAGATAAATTCTTTTCCTGATCTAGGCCTTCTACATCATGTCATTATTTTCTTTTTTTTAACCTCATGTTAGAATTTTAGAGAGTTAGGACTCAGTTATTTTTATTAATGGAGTGTAGCCGGGTTAGAAGTAATTTTTTTCGTAAGTTTCAATTGGATCATATATTTCACTCCCTCTAAACTATTTTGCTTTCCCTATTTGGTCTGACTCAGCATTTTTTAAAAGCACTGATTAACATTAAATTTAATTTTTTATTTTCGTTTTGCACAGATCCTAAATTTAGTTTTAACTTCCTAAGTGCATGTCAGTATACAACGGATGGAAATAATACTAAAGCATGCTAAGTAGCAGACAGAGCCAACCTTGTCTTAAGCAAACATTTACCGTATATGGTTACACACGGTTGTATGACACTACCAGTTGTTTGTTTTCACCATTTCTTCCCTGGTGACTAAAAACAAAAGACAGACAAAAACAGACACACACACGTGTTCATTGTAGAAAATTTGGAAAATGAAGAAATGCCCCAGAAAGTAAAAAGCACTCATCTCCCTTCAATTTTAGCACATTATTCTGGGGAATGTATATTATGTTTTCCACTACATAATTTTTCTCTAAAATGTTCCTCTGTTGACTTTTTTTTTTAGGCATAATTTGTTGGACTCTAAGATCAACACCCTGTTATCACTGTGCCAAGATCCAAATCTGTTAAATCCAATCCATGGAATTGTGCAGAGTGTGGTGTACCATGAAGAATCCCCACCACAATACCAAACATCTTACCTGCAAAGTAAATAAATGTATCTGGAGAAGGATGGTTGATGAACTTGCTAACATGCGCACTGTTGTAGAATGCACTGACTACAGAATTCTTTATAAGGGATAGACGTGTTTATACTTTTATTTCCATATTCCATTTTTTTACTCTCTCAATTGTATGTCCAATGTAACAGGTTGACAACTTTTTATACTGAGTATATTTGAGGTGGGGTTTAGTCGCTTTGACATATTCTAAAAACGTGTCTTCAGCATGTACATAGGGTTTACATATCATCAGCTCTACAACTTATTTAATTTCTGTTACAATTAAAAGATATCTTGCTTGTTATAAGAGTGACATTTGATTTGTTACAGGTTTTGGTTTTAATGGCTTGTGGCGGTTTGCAGGACCCTTTTCAAAGGTAAGAAAATATATTTTTCTGTAACTTTTGGCAAAATGAAGGTTTCTGTTCAAATTAGTATGCTTGCTTTAAGAACACACAATATGCTGAAAACCAGAATAATAATTCACAATGAACACATATGTTACTTTTGTAAAAAGTTTCTCATCACAAGGTTTTTTTCCAGGAAGCAGCACGGTGTGGGGGTGTGTGTATTCACTTTTACAAACAAAGTCAGCTTATGCTTGACTTTTCAGAAGAGTATCATAAACCTCGGTGATACTTTTCTGCCACAGTCCCTTGTGTATTTGATAATCTTAATGCACATACTTAGATAGCTTATGACTAGCAAGGAGCATTACCATTTTATTTCCAACCTATAAGATTCATTTCTCTCTGAATTTGTCCTCATTTGCTCCTTTTCAGTTTTTTTTGTTTGTTTGTTTTTGTGAGACAGAGTCTCACTCTGTCTCTAGGCTGGAGTACAATGGCGCAATCTTGGCTCACTGCAACCTTTGCCTCCCACGTTCAAGCAATTCTTCTTCCGCAGTCTCCCAAGTAGCTGAGACTACAGGCATGCACCACCACGCCCAGCTAATTTTTGTATTTTGGGTTTCACCATGTTGGCCAAGATGGTCTTGATCTCTTGACCTCGTGATCTGCCCACCTCAGCCTCCCAGAGTACTGGAATTACAGGCATGAGCCACCGCACCTGGCCTCAGTTTGTTTTCTGATTGGCGTTAGTTTATGTAGTGTTACATAATATGTATATAATCATTTTCTCTGTATGTGGGCTTTCTCCAAATTGATCAAAGTTCCTTGAAGGCAGGATTTCTGTTTCTTCCCTTGAACAGTTCCTGGTGCAGTGTTTTAGATACGGGGGTGCTAAATCAATATGAATTATATAAACCTTGTTCCAGTTTTTAAGAATTGGGTATTTTGTTTATTTCTTTTCACTATTACTGAATATCTGTTGACATGCAAAGGTTGTCACTTAAAAAATGGGCCTGAAGTTACAGAAATAGTATATCATACAGAAGTTTTTGCATTCGGATTGCCAGTAACCCTGTGAGCCCTTTACAGTGTCTAGTGATTAGAATCTAAATGGCAGCTGGAATGATGATGCTCTGCTCATTTTCTCTGTTTTGGAAAATTGACTAGACATCATTCCTGATGATTGTATTGCCTTAGTATTAAATTCAGTCTGTCTTGTGCATGGCTTTCAGAAAATGCAGGTTCATCTGGAAGCTTTAAGTGTAAGCTGAATAGACCTGCCTGTTGTAAGTCCTCTGGTAGTCTATAAATATTACTCCACTCCCCTTTTTTAATGATAAGTAATACAAAGGAAGAAAAATAGTAAATTAAGTCCAAACAAAATTAATACCTTTTTGACTTCAGATGGGGATTTACTTAAAGAAAAGGAGCTAAAATAATTTCCTGTTTTTCATTACAGCAAACACAAATTCCAGACTATGCTGAGCTTATTGTTAAGTTTCTTGATGCCTTGATTGACACGTACCTGCCTGGAATTGATGAAGAAACCAGTGAGGAATCCCTCCTGACACCCACATCTCCTTACCCTCCTGCACTGCAGAGCCAGCTTAGTATCACTGCCAACCTTAACCTCTCTAATTCCATGACCTCACTTGCAACTTCCCAGCATTCCCCAGGTCAGTAAATGTGATCTTTACATGACTTTGAGCAACAGTGTAAGATACCAACATTAGGAATTCTCTTGTGATCAGTTTATAGCAAATTTTGCTCCTTTTTGTTATGAGATTCACCTTACATTTCTTCTTTACCTTGTAACTGACTTGACTTTTGTTACTCTATAAAGCTTTCTACTTTCAGACAAGTTGTATGTAAGACAGTAAAATGTTAAAATGTCCACATGATATTCCAAGGTTGACAAGTTTCTAGAGTGTGGGCAGGAAGAGTAACTTAAAACACATTACTCTGTAAGTGAACAGAACTATAATTCCTTTACTAGATATACTAACATTGCCCTAAGGGCCTCTTTCCTCTGTCTCTGATACAGCATACTATATCAAAAATAAAAAGAAGAAGAAGAAACACAAAATCTATTAGGTACCTCACTTTCCTGCTGCCAACAGTAACTCAGCCATCCATAGACCATCCTGAACATCTGGAAGTAAATAATCAAAAAAGTCATCTCAAGAAAATAACATCTTAAAGCCCATAAGCATATACATACCAATTCATAATGCAACTTAGATTTGAATACACTGAGAAATACTAATAGCTAATAGCTCAGGTGGGACTGAGATAAACAAGATGGCAGAAATGGCAAACCTACAGAACTCTGGACTCATTCAGTGTCATAGTGAATGGTTTCATACAACACTGGTTGACCCAGGAGGGTCGTTATTCATTATAGAACTTAACACTATTGTGTGTGTTATGATGACAGTGAGTAATGAAGGAAAGCTTTTGTTATGGTCGTGTTTTCTATTTAGAAAGATACTCTTCTAAAATGGTTAAAAATAAAAGAAACTTTAGTTGTTTAAAGTTCCATTATCTGAAAAGTTCACTTATGAAACACATCATTCTATAAGGAAAAGTTACTATATATAGTTCTTTTAAGTGTTAGCATAAATTTAAAAAAATGACCTAACTATTCTGTGATGTTCAAGATCAATAAATAGAATTCCCAGTTTATGATCCCGGTTTTGCATGAACATTTCAATTTATGTAATTTTGAAGGTTCTAAAGAATTTTGCAATACCTAATTCATATTATAAACTATTACATAATTAACTGTATTCTATTAAATTCTGGTTAACAACAAAGCTTTGCTCAGCAGAGGAAACAAATTTTATTTCAACATTTGTCAGTCGCCTTACAAGTAATCCTTTTCTTCCCCCCAGAAATAAGAGAAGTCTAACTTTTTTCCCCCATGTAACAAGGTTTGTTTGCCCTCTGCCTCTAACTCTCTAGTACTTTCTGCAAGTGTGATCCCAGACCAACAGCATCATTTGGGAGCTTGTTAGAAATGCAGATGCTGGAGTTTCACCTCAGATCTGCACAAAAAACTCCAAGTAGAGCCCAGCCAGCAGTCAGTGTGTTAATAAATACCCCAGGCAATTCTTACGCACACTGGAATCGGAGAAGCACTGCCCTGGGGCCTGCTTCTGGTCTTGCCCATTATCAGCATTTCAGCTGTGAAGGCCAGGGCAAAACTTAAAATTTACTTTTTTTACAGATACTGCAGCCAATGAATTCCTTGCTTTCTGCTTCCCCGCTGATAAACTCTTTAGCATTTTGGAGCTAGGGAACCATACAGGTAATTTAGTTTTAGGCTCACAATATCGTGTACGTTGGGGAGACTGAGTTTTAGAAGAGCTAGGTTAACTGCTTTATATAGTTCTTATCTAGAACCAAGTTCAGGCCCTTTTATACTACATTCATTGCCTTCCATGTCTGTTGTCTGTCTGATTATCTATCTACTTTCCCTTCCCCTTCTCTATTTCCTTGTTTTTGTTTGTTTATTGCTAATTCATTACTTCTGTCTGCCTTGCCTTAAGCCCACCAGTTCTTTTTTGTCTGTGGGACTGTTTTCTGGGTTATTGAACAAAAGTTCAAAAGTTTTTAAAGTCTGCTTCATTTTAACCAAGCTTTTTGCCTTTTGGGCTACTAAACTTGTGTTAAACATGTCAAAAATGGTTAGTTTTTTTATTAACTTTTTTTACCCAGTCTAATTGTTAGGGAAATTTCTGCCTATCTTTGCCCACTAATGGAGACAACAAAATAATCTGGATGAGAATAAAGAACCACTACAGGTTTCTCTGCTATATGATTAGTTGCATATATCCAGTGTTAATTGGCTATTTGCCAGATCATTTGCTTTGGTAAAACAGTCTTACTCTACAACCTCTTACTTAGAATTGTTTATTAAAATCAGAATAGGTTTCATGACTTTGGTTCCAGTTTCAAACTAATGGTGTCTCCTCCATTAACTCTCCAAAGATGAATAAATAGACTGCTACACCTTGGAAATCTCTGACTATACACAGAAGAGATGAGGAAGTTTAAAAGTAATAGAATTAAGTGGTATCATGGTGTTCAGCTCTTCCTGTCACTCAATTGTGTGTCATTGGTTTGACAGTTTATTTTACTACATTCAGAGAAAGGGTTTATCTTTTCAAAAGTAGCCTTACTCTCCCACAAAACCCATTTGTATCTCTAAATTGTGGGCTCATGTTCACAAAAGGATCCCAATTTATATGCCCCATCACAGGGTTTTTGTCATTTGCTCTTACAGAATAACTCCTAATGGTAAGAGTCGATCTTTTTGTTTGTAAATAGGTGTATTGCTTCATATCTTTAGCTCCATCGCATCTTATATCCTTATCTCTTCTTTTTTTTTTTTTTTTTTTGAGACGGAGTCTCGCTCTGTCACCCAGGCTGGAATGCAGCTGTGTGATCTCGACTCACTGCAACCTCCGCCTCCCAGGTTCACACCATTCTCCTGCCTTAGCCTCCCAAGTAGCTGGAACTACAGGTGCCCGCCGACACGCCCGGCTAATTTTTTGTATTTTTAGTAGAGATGGGGTTTCACCATGTTAGCCAGGATGGTCTTGATCTCCTGACCTCGTGATCCGCCCACTTTGGCCTCCCAGACTTCTGGGATTACAGACGTGAGCCACTGCACCCGGCCTTTTTTTTTTCCTTTGGAGACAGTGTCTCACTCAGTCGGCCAGTCTGGAGTGCAGTGGCGCAATCTTGGCTCACTGCAACCTCTGCCTCCTCGGTTCAAGCGATTCCCCTGCCTCAGCCTCCCTAGTAGCTGGAATTACAGGTGCACACCACCACGCCTGGCTAATTTTTGTATTTTTAGTAGAGATGGGGTTTCCCCATGTTGACCAGGCTGGTCTCGAACTCCTGACCTCAGGTGGTCCACCCATCTCAGCCTCCCAAAGTGCTGGGATTACAGGCGTGAGCCACAGCACTCAGCCACCTCATTTCTTTATGGCACTGAGTTTGCTTATATCAAAAAACCAAAAGAAAGTTGTCCAGATTCCTAACTCAGTCTGGCGTTTCAACTTTGCTATTTAGCTGTATGGAAACCAAAACATTATCTCCAGCAGCAAAGTCTCAAGCAATAGTATTTAAAGAAGTTCTTTGTCACTCCCCAATATGGAGCATAAGTTTGATTTACCATCAAATTACCCAACATCAACCTACACTGAGATTTAAACAGATAAAGTTTCCATTGCCGTATTTCAAGAAGCAAATGTTGCTGATCGGCACGCATTCAATCCTTTGCTGCAAATGTTTCATGTCAATGCAAAACTCTTCATTCTAGATCTTTGGTGTTTAGCAGGATCAGCTACTAAGCTGTATTTTCTTTTGTCCAACATTTTCTGCTAGCAAATCAACAAAATAAGAGATTCATGAACCTCATCCTCTTCCCCCCTCATGCCCCTGCATTAGGTCTTACTTAAATAAAACATTTTGGTAGTATTTAATTAGTTACCAGCTTTGAGGAGAAGTGGTAGTCACTTACATAAAGCAGTTGTCTCTGAAAATGCATTCTTCTTGACAAATTAGCATAGCCTAATTCTCTGTCCTAAGGGGAGCTGTTTTACAAGTCCACATATAAAAGTACCTAAATAGTTGTCTTCTGAATACCTCCCTAGTAGAAATTGAATTTGGCATCAGTGGAGCCAATGACTGCACCTGGGATTCAGTGCATATAGAATTGCATTCACTGTGACCCTTTAGCCAAATGGATGTAAGACTTTGGCTCCTAGGATTTTCTCAAATGCCAATAAGAGCATCCTGAAGAGAATCCATTTACTCTATGATATATAAGAATATTTCAGGTTTGGTATTATGATCCTTATTAGGTCCAGTCTAGCTGAGCTGGACATGAATTGAAGAACCAGGATTAGAACTAGAAAATGAAACCCAGGCTGAGTGCAGTGGCTCACAACTGTAATCCTAGCACTTTGGGAGACCGAGGCAGGTGGATTGCTTGAGACCAGCCTGGGCAACATGATGAAACCCCATCTCTACAAAAATAGAAAATTTAGCCAGGCGTAGTGGCATGCATTTGTACATTTGTAGTCCCAGCTACTTGGGAGGCTGGGGTGGGAGGATCACCTGAGCCCGAGAGGTCAAGGCTGTGGTGGGCTGTGATCTTGCCACTGCACTCCAGTCTGGGATTGAGACCCTATCTCAAAAAAAAAAAAAAAAAGAAAGAAAGAAAATGAATTAAATAGGATCCATTTCCAAAGTATCAAAATTTGATATATACTTTATCAGGGTCTCCTGATATTCTTCAGAGGAGAATTGTTGTAACTGAATTCAATAAACATTTGAATACCTATTTTGTAGGTGTATGTTAGGTGTATATTAGAATCCTTGGTCACCAGAGACTTGACAGTTTTTGCCCATGGATCTAGGAAGGAAAGTTATTTCCTTCCGATCCATGTTGTTTAACAAATTCTAAGTGTGCACTTAAAAATTCAGAAAATTTTTAAATTTTTTTTTAAAAAATTTAAAATTTTTATTTTAAATACAAGATTAATACTATAGTGCTCTGTAGAAAATACCAGAATTCCAGATACTTACCCTACATACATGTATTGTTTACTACATGCAAGGGGCTCTTAGACCCAGGGGAGCCAAGGGGCTACCAGGGCAT